GTCAGTACCATACGGGTTTTGATAATCTTTACCCAAAAAATCAGATCAACATCTGCAAGCATAACTAATAAAGAGCTGCGCCATGAGCGCATGATACGCCCATCACCCTCTAGCATGTCTTTATGCTTTAAATAAATTAATATGATCAACTAGAGATACTGTGAGCACTCTGCTCCAATATACCCCCCCCCCCAAAAAAAAATAAAATAAAATAAAAAGACATGCACACTCAGTGGTACCCATTGACACAAAACATGAATAATTTGGCACTATTACAACTCTTTTCATAATGCTAGCAAGACAAAGGTTTGTTTGACTTGCTTGCTTTGTTTGTATAAATGTTTGCTCAAGCATTGTAATTAAGATTGTCATCTGCAAACAATATAAGTAGGCAGAGTTAAACCTGTGTATAGGTAAATTTGATTATTTGATAATGTCCAATCAAATTTAAATATAATGTATACAAGTTTAAATCCGCCTTTTTATCCAATCAAATTTAAATATAATGTATACAAGTTTAAATCCGCCTTTTTATGTTATTTTCAGATGTCAATCTTAATTACAATGCTTGAGCAAACATTGATACAAACAAAGCAAGTAAGCCAAACAAACCTTTGTTTTGCTAGCATTATGAAAAGAGCTGTAAGACTACCTCAAGTTTAGCTTTGTGGCCCTGATTTTTGAACATTTAAAATTCTATAACCGTCCAAAGTGTAACAAATGGACAATTTTTGAACCAATAAAGTTCCATATCTCTGCAATGTCATCAGAAATTTATAAAAAAAACACAAAAGGGAGCTTATTTCAATAGATATAAACAAGTCATCAAAGTTAAATGAAAACTGCTCAAAGCGTTAATGAGTTATTGTCAGAAAAATTGGAAATACCCCCTTTTTTAATGGATAAAGTCCTAATACTCCAAAGCATAAAATCAGAATTTTTTTAGAATCGAAAGGTTAATATATGTGTAATAAAATGCTCCGCAGGGCGCAGCTTGATACGACCACAGAGGTCGAACCCTGAACAGTTGGGGCAAGTATGGACACAACATTTAAGCTTGATACAGCTCTGAATTTGGATTGTGATTAAATATTTGACACAGCATAGGTTTCTGACACAGAATGAATGTGGTCTAAGAACTTAAAAATTTTAAATTGGACATTCACCTATTATGGTCCAATATCCAAAATCTAAATACATGGTTAGATTCAGCATATCAAAGAACCCCAAGAATTCAATTTTTGATGAAATCTAACAAAGTTTAATTTTGGACCCTTTTGATCTCAATGTGGACAAAGTTGATAACGGGGCCCAAAAATCAAAAATCTAAATACATGGTTAGATTCAGCATATCAAAGAACCCCATATATTCAATTTTTGTTGAAATCAAACAAAGTTTAATTTTGGACCCCGATTTGGACCAACTTGAAAACTGGGCCCATAATCAAAAATCTAAACACATGTTTAGATTCAGCATATCAAAGAACCCTAAAAATTCAATTTTTGTTAAAATCAAACTAAGTTTAATTTTGGACCCTTTGGACCTTTATGTAGACCAATTTGAAAACGGAACCAAAAATTAAGAATCTAAATACAGGGTTAGATTCGGCATATCAAAGAACCCCAATAATTCAATTTTTGATGAAATCTAACAAAGTTTAATTTTGGACCCTTTGGACCTCAATGTGGACCAATTTAAAAACGGGGCCCAAAATCCAAAAACTTAATACACGGTTAGATTCAGCATATGAAAGAACCCCATATATTCAATTTTTGTTGAAATCAAACAAAGTTTAATTTTGGACCCCGATTTGGACCAACTTGAAAACTGTGCCCATAATCAAAAATCTAAATACATGGTTAGATTCAGCATATCAAAGAACCCCATATATTCAATTTTTGTTGAAATCAAATAAAGTTTAATTTTGGACCCTGATTTGGACCAACTTGAAAACTGGGCCCATAATAAAAAATCTAAATGCATGGTTAGATTCAGCATATCAAAGAACCCCATATATTCAATTTTTGTTGAAATCAAACTAAGTTTAATTTTGGACCCTTTGGACCTTTATCTAGACCAATTTGAAAACGGAACCAAAAATTAAGAATCTAAATACACGGTTAGATTCGGCATATCAAAGAACCCCAATAATTCAATTTTTGATGAAATCAAACAAAGTTAAATTTTGGACCCTTTGGACCTCAATGTGGACCAATTTAAAAACGGGGCCCAAAATCCAAAAACTTAATACATGGTTAGATTCAGCATATTAAAGAACCCCAAAAATTCAAGAATAAAACCCCATTGAAATTGATCAAGAAATAAGCAGTTTATACGAAGTATATTCTTTTGCACAATACTGTGCAATTGAATATTTCTTGCTATTGCGCAATATTGTACAATTGACAATTTCTTGCTATTGCGCAATATTGTGCTATCGGATATTTCTTGCTATTGCGCAATACTGTGCAATTGAAGATTTCTTGCTATTGCGCAATACTGTGCAATTGAAGATTTCTTGCTATTGTGCAATACTGTGCAATTGAAAATTTCTTGCTATTGCACAATACTTATTGTATAATAATTTACACATCCTGTTTGGTGTGTATCTCCTACCATATCATTATTATTTGCTTTTAAATATAAATCAGAAATAACCAACTTAAAATGTAAAATTTTAAAAGAAAAAAAAAAGGAAAAAAAGAAAAAAAAAGAAACCCCCCCCCCCCCTCCCCCAAATTTTTTGAACCCCCTTATGATTCATCACCCCCAAACTCAATCCCAGCCTTCCCTTTGTGGTATGGTATCTTGCAGTACAATTTCAGAGAGATCCATACACTTGAACACAAGTTATTGTCTGGAAACTCGAAAAATACTTATTTTTGGCCCCTTTTTGGCCCCCAATTCCTAAACGTTTCGGGCAATTACCCCCAAACTCAATTCCAGCTTTCCCTTTGTGATATGGAACCTTGTAGTACAATTTAAGAAATATCCAAACACTTACACACAAGTAATTGTCATGAAACTAGAAAAATGCTTGTTTTTTGCCCCTTTTTTGGCCCCTAATTCCTAAAATTTTGAGGCAATTACCCCCAAAATCAATTACAGCATTCCCTATGTGATATGGAACCTTGTGGTACAATGTCAGAGAAATCCATACACTTACACACAAGTTATTGTCTGGAAGTTACAAAAATGCTTATTTTTGGCCCCTTTTTGGCCCCTAATTCCTTAACTGTTGGTACCATAACCCCCAAAATCAATCCCAACCCTCCTTTCGTGGTATTGAACCTTATGGTAAAATTTCATGGAGATCCATTCACTTAAACTAAAGTTAGAGTGCGAAAACCAATGTGTCTTTGGACGACGCCGGACGACGACGACGACTACGCCAACGTCATACCAATATACGACCAAAAATTTTTTAATTTTTGCGGTCGTATAAAAATTCGTAAGGGTTCCGCGGAACCCAGTGTCTCGCCTACTTTTTCTGTTAATCGCAGGCTCAACAAAAATGAGGAAGTAAATCAATAAAAATATTCCTCTTGATACTATCTTTTGATTGTAAGAAGTTTCTGTCCAAGTTTGGTAAAAATCCAGGATAGTTTATGAATCTAATAAATGTTTAAAAACTTTATCTGCAGACTGAATGTAATGTTAACTTGAAGAAAACAAAATTTCCTTCTAGATACTAGCATTTGATCATAAACAAGCTTCTGTTAAAGTTTGGTGCAAATCCAAAATAGTATAAGAAAGTTATTAAAATTTAAAAAACTTTAACCACAGAGTGAATGTGTTGTTTCCTGACAGGAAATCTAAGTCCATTTAAAAGTAAAATACGGAAAAAATGGATTTATTATTTTACAAAATTTCCTTCTAGATACTAGCTTTTGATCATAAACAAGCTTCTGTCCAAGTTTGGTACAAATCCAAAATAGTATAAGAAAGTTATTAAAATTTTAAAAACTTTAACCACAGAGTGAATGTGTTGTTTCCTGGCAGAAAATCTAAGTCCATTTAAAAGTAAAATACGGAAAAAATGGATTTATTATTTTACAAAATTTCCTTCTGGATACTATCTTATGATCATAAACAAGCTTCTGTCCAAGTTTGGTAGAAACCCAGCATAGTTTAAGAAAGTTATTAAAATTTTAAAAACTTTAACCACAGAGTGAATGTAATATTTCCCGGCAGAAAAACTAAGTCCATTTATAAGTAAAATACGGAAAAAATGGAATTTTATTTTTACAAAATTTACTTCTGGATACTATCTTATGATCATAAACAAGCTTCTGTCCAAGTTTGGTAGAAATCCAAGGTAGTTTAAGAAAGTTATTAAAATTTCAAAAACTTTAACCACAGAGTGAATATTTGTGGATGCCGCCGCCGACGCTGACGGAATGTAGGATCGCTATGTCTCGCTTTTTCGACTAAAGTCGAAGGCTCGACAATTATACAATTAACCAAAGTTTCATAAAAATTGCTTAAAAGCATTTTTGAGTTATAGTCAGAAAACTGGAATTATTATCCCCCATTTTCTTATGAATAAAATCCCATAACTCAGAAACGTTAAATCTAAAATTTATAAAAATCAAAAGGGAACTTACGTCAATAGATATAAACAATTCACCAAAGTTTCATGAAAATTTGTGAAAGACTTTTTGAGTTATTGTCTGAAGTTTTGATGGACGGACGAACAGAGGTATACCATAATACGTCCTGTAAACGGGCATATAAAAATGGCAGACAACTTTCGATTTGAAAATGATAGAGCAACGGACATGGTTGACACTATAACCCTGACCATTATGTGGCAGGAACATAAAATTAGAACTTCAATCAAATCTAGTTCTTATAATTTAAGTTAACTTAAACATGGAACAATATTAAATCAATAGATATAAGAAGATGTGGTATGAGTGCCAATGAGACAACTCTCCATCCAAGTCACAATTTGTAAAAGTAAAACCATTATAGGTCAAAGTACGGCCTTAATTACCATTAACATTTTTCTTTCTTCTTGGTCTTTTAGCAGACATCTTCTTGTACAAAGAATTCTTTTTCTACAAAAAGAGATATACAGCATGTCATCATAAAATAAAAGAAGAATGTGTCTGAGGATACGAATGCCCCCGCTCAAGCTTGCTTATAATATGTGAAAATACAGACGGAAAGACGGACATATGGACAGACAGTCAAGGGTAACACTAAATGCCCCCATAAAATTCATACCATCATTATCAATTTTGAGACCTATCCTTGTGCAAACTAAATTTGGAGTAAAATTATAAGAAATCAAAAGGTGTGCCTGTCCACACTAATATATATACATCTATTTGTTTTAATTTCACCATAAACACACATAGTTAACATATTATATATTTATAAACAGACAACCTATTCATGCATTTGTTATATCAATTATACAATAATTAAAATCATTTTGTATATAATGTTTAAAGTTTGAAAATATAAATTTGTAAATTTTGAACTTCCTGATCATTTGGCTGTTTACAGTTTTTGTCTTTCTATTTAGTGTCCTTTTAAAGGCAATAACTCTTATAAGGAATCAATAATTGTTTTATTAATATTATAAACAAGAGTTCCCTCAACCAACATACATAGCTAAACTCAAGACTTTATAAACAAGAGTTCCCTCAACCAACACATAGCTAAACTCAAGTCTTGAGTTTAGCTATGTTTGTTGGTCGAGGGAACTCTTGTTTATAATGATGAAAGTACATGTACCAATACTGAATAATGACACATATTGTAAGAGCAAGTTATCTGGTATGCTTTTTATAAATTTTAGGCAATAACTTACAATTTACGCTAAAAATATATTCTTAATAATGGCAACCATGTAGGTTAATCCACAGAAACACCAGGAAAATATTATAAACAAGACAACCTAATGATGATTGTTTGGTTTCAAGAGACTTGGAGTCGGTTTCACAAAAAAACTTACGACTAAGATTGATCGTAAGTATACTGAATTGTTTATGACTTACGATCAATCTTGGTCGTAAGTTTTTTTGTGAAAACGACTCCTGGTTGTTTCAAAAGTTAATTGATTGTTAATTGCTTAATGACCATTGTCAATTAATTTTTTAATGTTGAGTGGTGATATTCAAGAGAAGAACAAATTAACAATTAATACAAAAGGCAGGTTATGCAAGGTGGGACAACCAGGATGAAGGTCAGGAAATTAATTGTGAGTACAGCTGGATAATAAGGGTATACTGTATTGGGCATACATTTTGACTTGCAAAAGACCAGCAAGGGACGAGGGTCCTCAGAAGAGTGACCCAAAAAAGACCAAATTGCAGAGCCACAAGATCAAATTTTTCTCACTGTATTTTGACAATGACCACCAAAACTTAACAATTTGACCAATGAAAATGAAATCAAGGTCATATGAACCCTGCCAGATGAACATGTACAACTAATGATCATTCCATACGTTAAATATCAAGAAGTTGACCTATTGCTTATAGTATCTGAAAAAAAAAAACTAATGTTTGTTTAAGTAGTAGTCATAATTCATTGATTGATTGATTGATTGGTGTTTAACGCCACTTTCCACAATATTGTGCTATTTCAGGGTGGTCAGTTTTTATTGGTGGAGGAAGCCAGTGTGCCTGTAGAGAACCACGACCCCCGGTAGGAAAACTGACAATCCTAGTCAATTAAAATTGAAGTCGAGCGCACCTGCCATTCAAAATCACAACCTCAGTGTTGACTGGCTAGTGATACAGCAGTTCGACTACTTAGACCCCTCGGCCACTGAACAATGAAAATGAGATCAAGGCCAAAGGACATATGCCTGACAGAAACGTAAGAACATAAGGCACCTGTATACAATGTATGAAGTATTTAGACCTTCTACCTTCTGAAAAATAAAGCTTTAAACAAAAAAATTAGTTTCTACTGCTCTAGATTTAGCTTCCTCATGATGACTGATATTTATTGTAGATCTTATATTGCTGATCTTTTTTGGTATTTACAGTTTCTGCAAAAATAGGTAAAATATGTCTTTGAAAGGCAATACTCCTATATTTTCATACTTACAAAAGACATATCGGGCATTTCGACTTATTTGTAGATCTTAACCGGAAAATTCCTATTACTACCAAGAATGGTAAAAATCTTCACTCAAAAGCTAAAAAAAAAATCCTATATGCCTGCCAGGATTTCTCTATTTATTGATGGTTTTTAAGATAAAAGACAATATTTTTAGCTTGGAGGCCATTTTGGGTTGCAGGCTGGATCAGCGGACACATTTAAAATATTAGGGTTTTTAACATTACGATTTAATTTTTAATAAATTGCTTCGCTGAGCGCAGCTGGATACGACCGCAGTTGTCCAACCCTGAAAAGTTGGGGCCAAAATGGACACAATAATCACGCTTGATACAGTTCTGAATTTGGATTGTAACTAAATTTTTGACACATAATAGGTTTCTGACACAGAATAACTGTAGTCAAAGAATTTCAAATTGGTTATATGATTTGAATTTATATTCAATTTTTTGCTTTTGTGCAATACACTATGCTGTTGCGAATTGACCCCCCCCCAAAAAAAAAATTTTGTTTTTTACCCCTGTTTTTTTGCTTTAGTGCAATACACTATGCTGTTGAATATTAACCCCCCAAAAAAAAAATATTTTAAGAAATTTTCTTTTAATTTCTGAAATCTGAAATGAGAAAAATTGTCCCCCCGTCCAATTTTTTTCACCTCCCCCCTTTCCCTTATTCCCCAAAAAAAAATCTTTCCCTCAAGATATGGTCAGTATCTCAATTCAAATTTCTAATGGAGTTTGCAACCATAATTACCCATTTAAATACATCATAAAAGTTTTAAAATATAAAATGACATACATAGTCATGGCTAAAATTAATAATAATTAATAGTAACTGCTAAAAATAAATTGACAGCTAATCACCTCAAGACAATCATCATTTCTTAATACATAATTTACAAACAGTGTAAGGGAGGTAATCAAACAGTGTTCTTTTAATTGATTTGGATTACCTCCCTTACACTGCTTTTAAATCTTTTAAATTGTCTCAATTGTCCTTTAACCAGAAAAACCCTTGTTTTTCCCCTTTTTTTGCCCCTAATTACTAATTGGTTTGAGCCATAACCCCCCAAAGTCAATCCTAACCATCCCTTTGTAGTATGGAAACTTGTGGTATAATTTCAGAGAGATTCATACACTTTAACGCAAGTTATTATCTGGAAACTACAAAAATGCTTATTTGGGCCCCTTTTTGGCCCCTAATTCCTAAACAGTTGGGACCATAACCCCAAAAAACAATCCCAACCTTCCTTTAGCGGTTATAAACCTTGTGTTAAAATTTTATTGATTTCTATTTACTTATACTTAAGTTAACATCCGGAAACCATCTGTCTTCGGACGACAACGACGACAACGTGATACCAATATACAACCAAAAAATTTTTAATTTTTGCGGTCGTATGAAAACTGATAATTCCTCCTAAGTCAGAAACCTGTAATTTAGTGGTTGTTGTTGTTGCTGCATATCATTTTTGTTTTTTCATTTATTGTTTTGTATATAATCAGGCTGTTTTCTCGTTTGAATTGTTTTACATTTGTCGTTTCAAGGCCTTTATACCTTACTATGCGGTAATTGTGTAGCTCATTTTTGAAGGCTGTAAGGTGACCTTTAGTTGTAAACTATATCATTTGGTCTCATTGTGGAGAGTTGTCTCATTGGCAATCATACCACATCTTCTTATTTATATACAGATTGTTTTTGAAGAAATAACCCACTCCCCTATTTTTTTGCACTGATAATCGGCCAGGCATTGGATAAAAAGCATCTATAAAACAAGAAATGATTGTAACAAGATGCTGTTACGAAGTCTCCCAAACGAAGCTCCCATAATTCGTAATTCCCAGGGTCGCCTGACATTGGGCAACGTCCAGTGAAAATTGGTTTGATCCAGTAAAGTTATATGCATTAGTGATGCCTGGGGACTAACCTTGTATATCATTCAAATCATCTTGGCATGACAAACCAGAATATATATGGTTTAGGGGTGGGGATCTCGACCATTTACAAGATACTAGAACATTGGGGGTGGGGAGGAACCCCTGGGGACTGGCCCTATACGTCATTCAAATGTTCATTACATGACGAACAGGAATATATATGGTTTAGGTGTGGGGATCTCAACCATTTACAAGATATAAGAACATTGGGGGTGGGGGGAACCCCTGGGGACTGACCGTATACGTCATTCGAATGTTCGAGACATGACAAATAGGAATATATATGGTTTAGGGGTGGGGATCTCAACCATTTACAAGATATAAGAACTTTCTCAAATGGCAGGGGGTCGGGATGACCCCTGGGGACTAACCCTGTATATCATTCAAACCATCTTAGCATGACAAACCAGAATATATATGGTTTAGAGGTGGGGATCTTGACCACTTACACGATATTAGAACTTTCTTAAATGGCAGGGGGTAGGGTGACCCCTGGGGACTAACCCTGTATTTCATTTGATGTGCTTTATCATGACAAACTAGAATATATATGGTTTAGGAGTGGGGATCTCGACCATTTACAAGATATTAGAACTTTCTCAAATGGCAGGGGGTCGGGATGACCCCTGGGGACTAACCCTGTATATCATTCAAACCATCATAGCATGACAAACCAGAATATATATGGTTTAGGGGTGGGGATCTGGACCACTTACAAGATATTAGAACTTTCTTAAATGGCAGGAGGTGGGGTGACCCCTGGGGACTAACCCTGTATAACATTTGATGTGCTTTATCATGACAAACCAGAATATATATGGTTTAAGGGTGGGGATCTCGACCATTTACAAGATATTAGAACTTTCTCAAATGGCAGGGGGTCGGGGTGACCCCTGGGGACTAACCCTGTATATCATTCAAACCATCTTAGCATGACAAACCAGAATATATATGGTTTAGAGGTGGGGATCTTGACCACTTACAAGATATTAGAACTTTCTTAAATGGCAGGGGGTGGGGGTGACCCCTGGGGACTAACCCTG